TGTGGCTGTGTGGGTATTTTAAGGTGGCTTGCTTGTACGTGTGGGCATTGTTGCTGCGATTGCCTGGTATGTGTGGGCATTGTTAAGGTGGCTGGTTTGTGTGTGTGGGCATTGTTGGCTGGGTGGATGCCTGTACGTGCGTGGGCATTCTTAAGGTGGCTCTGGTATGTGTGGGTATTGTTACAGTATTGCCTGTACGTGTGGGCATTGTTACGCGGATGCCCAGGCGTGTACATTGTTGCTGCGGTTTGCCTGTATGCGTGAGTATTGGTTACGTGGATGCCTGGTAATGCGTGGGCATTGTTTACAGGATTGCCTGTACGTGGCATTGTTACGCGGATGTTCTGTATGCGTGAGCATTGTTACGCGGATGCCTGGTATGTGGGCACTGTTGGCTGCGATTTGCCGATGCGTGGGCATTGTTGCGGATGTCTGGTATGTGTGGGCATTTAAGGCGGTTGCCTGTACGTGTGGGCATTGTTACAGGTGGCCGGTTTCAGGCGTGTGGAGCATTGTTAATGATGCTTTGTATGTGTGGGTATTGTTGCTGCGGATGTTTGTATGTGTGAGCATTGTTGGCTGCGGATTGCTTGTATGTGTGGGCATTGTTAAGGCGGATGTTTGTATGTGTGGGCATTGTTGGCTGCGGATGCTCAGGTATGTGTGGGTATTGTTATGCGGATTGCTTGTATGTGTGAGCATTGTTGGCTGCGGATTGCCCGTATGTGTGGGTATTGTTGCGGATGCCTGTACGTGGGGCATTGTTGGCTGCGTATTGTCTGTATGTGTGGGCATTGTTACGTGATTGCCTGTACGTGGGTATGTTGGCTGCATTGCTGTACGTGCGGGTATTGTTACGTGATGTTTGTATGCGGGCATTGTTAGGTGATTGCCCAGGCTGTGCGGGTATTGTTGGGGTGGATTGCCTGTATGTGTGAGTATTGTTAAGGTGGATTGCCTGGTATGTGGGTATTGTTAGGTGAGTTGTATGTGTGGGTATTGTTGGTGGATTGCTTGTGTGTGGCATTGTTACGCGGATGTTTGTATGCGTGAGCATTGTTACGGGGGATGCCTGTATGTGGGCATTTGGTTAAGGGGATTGCCTGGTGATGTGTGGGCACTGTTACGCGGATGCCTGTACGTGTGGGCATTGTTACGGAGTTGCGGGTACTGTTACGTGATTGCTTGTATGCGTGAGTATTGTTGCGCGGATGCCTGGTATGTGTGAGCATTGTTGGCTGCGGATGTTTGTATGTGTGGGTACTGTAGGTGGATGCTCAGGCGTGGGGCATTCTTGGATGCCGGCGTGGGGTATGTTACGGAGGGGGCATGTTGCTGCGACGTTCATGTGTGGGCACTGGTTAAGGTGATGCCTGTATGTGAGCATTGTTGCTGCGGATTGCCTGTATGTGTGGGCATTGTTAAGGTGGATGCCTGGTATGTGTGGGTATTGTTAAGGCGGATGCTTTTGTACGTATTGTTACGGGTATTGTGCGTGTGGGCATTGCTATGCGGATGCCTGTATGTGTGGGCATTGCTACGTGATGTTTGCATGCGGGTACTGTTGGCTGTTGGACGCCTGCATGCGTGGGTATTGTTAGGCGGATGTCTGGTATGCGGAGCATTGTTGCGCGGATGTCTGTATGTGGGCATTGTTACGTGTATTGTCTGGTATGCGTGGGGCATTGTCTGCGGATGTCTGGTATGCGTGAGTACTGTTATGCGGATGTTTGTATGCGTGAGCATTGTTACGCGGATTGCCTGTATGCGAGGATTGTTACGCGACGCTCGGTCGTGTGGGATTGTTATGCGGATGCTCGGATGCGTGGGCATTGGTTACGGGATGTTTGTATGTGTGGGCATTGTTAAGGTGGTTTGTATGCGTGAGTATTGTTAAGGTGGATGCTTGTATGTGTGAGCATTGTTGCTGCGGATGTTTGTATGTGTGGGCATTGTTAGCGTGGATTGCTTTGTATGCGTGGGCATTGTTAAGGCGGATTGCCGTTGTGAGTATTGTTAAGGTGCATTGTCTGTATGTGTGAGCATTGTTGGCGTGGTTGCCTATGCGTGTGAGTATTGTTAAGGCGGATGTTTGCGCGTGGCATTGTTGCAAGTGGATTGCCTGTATGTGTGGGCATTGTTAAGGTGGACGTTTGTATGTGAGTACATTAGGGGTGATTGCCGTGTATGTGTGGCATTGTTAAGGCGGATGTTTGTATGTGTGAGTACTGTTGGCGGATGTTTGTATGTGTGGGCATTGTTAACTGGCTGCCTTGTATGTGTTATGCATTGCTCAGGCTGTGTGAGTATTGTTAGGTGGATTGTACGTGGGATTGTTACAGGATGCCCGGCTGTGTATACTGTTGGCTGCGTGATGTTTGTATGCGTGGCATTGTTGGCAAGTGATTGCTCAGGCGTATGTGTTTCATTGTTGGCGGATGTCTGTATGTGTGGGCATTGTTGGCTGCGGATGTTTGTATGTGTGAGCATTGTTAAGGTGATGCCTGGTATGTGTGAGCATTGTTATGCGGATTGCCTACGTGTGGCATTTGTTTGCTGTATTGCCTGGTATGCGTGGCATTGTTAAGCGGATTGCCCAGGCGTGGCATTGTTAAGGTATTGTCTGCGTGCGGGTATTGTTACGAGTACGCTCAGCGTGAGTACTGTTGGCTGTGATGCCTGGTATGTGCGGGCATTGTTAAGGATGCCTGTACGTGAGCATCGTTAAGGCGGATGCCTGTATGCGTATTGCTTGGCTGCGTATTGCCTGTCGTGGGCAATTGCCGCGATTGCCTGTGGGCATTTTAGTGGTTGCCAGCGTGAGTATTTACAGCGGGATGCCTGGTATGTGTGGCATTGTTGGCTGCGGTGATGTTTGTATGCGTGAGCATTGTTAAGGTGGATGCCTGGTATGCGTGAGCATTGTTATGCGGATGTTTGTATGTGGAGTCTTCGTTACGTGGATGCCTTTGTAATGTGTGTGGGTAATTGTTGTGGACGTCTTGGTACGTGCGTGAGTATTGTTAAGGTGGCTGGTTTGTATGCGTGAGCATTGTTACAGCGGATGCCCAGGCTGTGTGGGTACGTTATGCGGTTTGTACGTGCGGAGCATTGGTTACGCGGTTTGCCTATGTGGGTATTCTTAAGGTGGCTGGTTTGTATGCGTGAGCATTGTTAAGGTGGATGTTTGCATGTGTGAGCATTGTTACGGATGTTCAGGTGTGTGGTATTGTTAAGTGATGCTCAGGCGTGGAGCATTATGTGGATGTTTCACGTGGGTGTGGATGCTGCGTGTGGGCATTGGTTGTGGATGCTTGTATGTGTGAGCATTACATGCGGTTGTTTCAGGGGCATTGTTAAGGGTGATTCAGCGTGTGGGCATTTGTTACGGTATTGGTTTGTATGTGTGAGCATTGCGGATGCCTGGTACGTGGCATTGGTTACGTGGATGCCTGTAGCGTGTGAGCATTGTTGGGCGTGATGTTTGTACGTGTGGGCATTGTTGGCGTGATTGTTTGGTGTGGGCATTGTTGGCTGCGGATGTTTGTACGTGTGGGTGCGTTACGTGGATGCTTGGCTGCGTGAGCATTGTTACGTGATGCTCAGGTGTGTGGGGCATTGTTGGGCGTGATGCCCGGTGTGCGGGCATTGTTGCTGCATTGCCTAGGTGTGTGTATGCGCGTGATGCTCTGGCGTGTGGGCATTGTTGCCGTATTGCTCAGGCGTGTGGCATTGTTTACGTGATGTCTAGCGTGTGGGCATTGTTGGGCGTGGTTGCCCAGGCGTGTGTGGGCATTGTTAAGGTGATTGGAGGCGTGTGGGCATTGTTACGTGATGTTTGTATGTGTGAGCATTGTTGGCTGCGGTCGCATGCGGTGGCATTGTTGGATGCGGTTGCTTGGCTGCGTGGGATTGTTAAGGTGGTTGTTTGTATGTGTGGGTCATTGTTAAGGTGATGCATGTGTGGCATTGGTTACGTGATTGCATGTGTGAGCATTGTTAAGGTGATGTTTGGCATGCGTGAGCATTGTTAGCGGTGATGCTTAGGGTGTGTGGGCATTGTTGGTGCGGATGTTTGCATGTGTGGCATTGTTAAGGTGATGTTTGGTGTGAGCATTGTTAAGGTATTCAGGTGTGAGCATTGTTGGCGATGTTTGCGGCTGTGGGCATTGTTAAGGTGATTGCTCAGGCGTGAGTATTGTTAGGCGTGATGTTTGTATGTGTGGGTATTCTTGCTGCGGTTGGCTTGAGTGTGGGCATTGTTGGGGTGATGTTTGCATGTGTGAGCATTGTTATGGCGGATGTTTGCGTGTGGGGAGCATTGTTAAGGTGGATGCTCTGTATGTGTGGGCATTGTTAAGGATGCTCAGCTGCGTGAGCATTGGTTGAAGGTGATTGCCTGGTACGTGGCATGTTGCTGCATTGCCAGGCTGTGTGGCATTACATGTATTGCAGTACGTGTGGGCATTGTTAAGGTGATGTTTGTATGCGGGCATTGTTACGTGATGTTTGCGTGAGCATTGTTGGCTGGTGATGCTCAGTATGCGTGGGGCATTGTTACGTGATGTCGGTATGCGTGAGCATTACATGTGGCTCATGCGTGTGGGTATTGTTGTGCGTGATGCTAGGCTGTGTGGCATTCTGATGCGGATGCTCAGGCTGCGTATATCATTAAGGTATTGTTCAGGCGTGTGGGCATTGTTGGCTGCGGATGCTTGATGTGTGGGCATTGTTACGTATTGCCTAGGTATGCGTGAGCATTGTTAAGCGGATGCCTGGTATGTGTGGGCATTGTTACGCGGATGTTTGTACGTGGGCATTGTTTGGCTGCATCTTTCAGGCGTGGGCACTGTTAATGCGATGCCTGTATGTGGCATTCTTACGTGATTGCCCAGGCTGCGTGAGTATGTTGCTGCGGTGGCCTGGTACGTGTGTGGGCATTGTTAAGGTGGATGTTTGGACGTGTGGGGTATTGTTGGCGTGGCTGGGTTTCAGGCGTGAGCATTGTTAAGGTGGATGTTTGTGTGTAGCATTCTTAAGGTGATGTTTGTATGTGTGGGTATTGTTAAGGTGGATGCGGTGTGGGTATTCTGGGTGATGTTTAGGCGTGTATTGTTGGGGTGGATGCTCAGGCGTGAGCATTGTTAAGGGTTGTTTGCGGTGTAGGCATTATTAAGGGTGGATGTTTGTATGTGGGTATGTTAAGGTGGATGTTTGTATGTGTGAGTATTGTTGAGGTGGATGTCTGGTATGTGTGAGTATTGTTAAGGTGGATGTTTGTATGTGTGGGCATTGTTAAGGTGGATGCTTGTATGTGTGGGCATTGTTAAGTGGATGTTTGTATGTGTGGGCATTGTGGTGGATGTTTGTATGTGTGGGCATTGTTAAGGTGGATGTTGTATGTGTGAGCATTGTTAAGGTGGATGTTTGTATGTGTGGGGTATTGTTAAGGTGGATGTTTGATGTGTGGGTATTGTTAAGGTGGATGTTTGTATGTGGGTATTGTTAAGGTGGCTGTTTGTAATTGAGTGACCTACCAGTACAATATAGGTGGGGACGATGTTAAGATTTTGCACTTACTAAAAAACTTCAATTCCTCAGGTGACAATTTATACACATTATAAATTCCTTAAGATTTTTGCAAATTTACTGCCATGATTTTTTCTGAAATATCTGTTTGGAATCTTAAATTTTTTCTAGTAACTCTGAAGAAGTTTAACAAAGGTTCATATTTGATTCAGTGTCATTGTAAAACCTTTATATTCTCCATCAGCCGAGTTTCCTCTACATTTTTCTAGTTTAGAGATTCACTTACCTCCAAGGAACCTCTTGGAAATAAGTACCTGACAGATTTGCTGGCTATCCTTGGTCAAATTGTCTTATTATTTACCACTGTTGCTTACCTGTACTGTCTGTTTCCCTGTAAGTACTTGCCACAATCTGTACTCACCTGCCTGTCCATCTGATGTAATCTGTAGTGGATTGTGCGGTTGACGTATTCCTGCCGATTTGTGAAAGTGAGAGGGACAGCTCGGCCCCCTGGCACAACGGATACTCGTACACCAGTCATGCTCATACACTCAAAGCTCTCAAGGGGAATAACCTAAGAAAAATAGATAAACACATATTGCTTCACTAACAGAGTTAATTAATACCGAAATTTATTCATCAGCACTTAATTGCACTGTCTAATTACTACTATAATATTAGATACAAAATCATACAATCAAAAGTGACATTGAGATTTTCAATATCCTTCATATTAAGTTTGTGCCGCCACAATACTGTATATTCCAGGTAGGTAGTGTTATTAGGCTTAACACTAGCACACCACTTACTGAAACACTTACATCATGAAAGGTCTCCTCAGTAACACCATCTTGATCAATGTCTCTGATGGCCCTCAAACTCTGCATGTACTCCATATCGACCTGTCATTAAACAGTATATATCACTTACTAAATTCATTTCCTCAACTGTTTTGGGATTCTAAAAATATTACGTAAGATTCCAAAGATGATTTCAAGAGCTTGGGAATGACATCTATCAATTAGGCACGGTGGTACAGTAAATAATTAAATACCATAAAAAATTACAGAAATTCGGTGACAAAATTAATATGGCTACAATTGGGATTCATTTCTCACAGACAAACAGTAGTGGGAGAGATGAGACAAGTGTCCACCCTGTTGCGTGCCGGAGATGCTGTGCCAACATGTTGTCAACTGATGTGGATATCTGGTGTAGGAACAACACTGAGGGTGTGGTGGTGAGGATGGTGTGGTGTGTGGTGAGGTGGTGTAGGTGGTGTGTGGTGAGCTGGTGTAGGGTGGTGTGTGTGGTGGTGGTGGAGGGTGTGTGTTTGTGTGGTGGGTGTGTGTTTGTGGAGGTGTGTGTTTGTGGTGGAGGGGTGTTTGTGGGTGGAGGGTGTGTTTGTGGTGGTGTGTTTGTGGTGTGGTGGTGGAGGTGTGTGTTTGTGTGTGTGTGTGGTGGGAGGGTGTGTGGGAGGGTGTGTGGGAGGGTGTGTGTGTGTGTGTGTGTGGGTGGTGGAGGGTGTGTGTTGTGGTGGGAGGTGTGTGTGGTGGAGGTGTGTGGTGGGTGTGTGGTGGGAGGGTGTGTGGAGGTGGTGGGAGGGGTGGAGGGGTGGGGTGTGTGGTGGTGGTGGTGGTGGTGGAGGTGTGTGTGGTGGGTGGGAGGGTGTGTGGTGGTGGTGGAGGGTGTGTGTGGTGGTGGTGTGTGTGTGTGTGGTGATGGGTGTGTGTGTGGTGGGTGTGTGTGTGGTGGTGATGGGTGTGTGTGGAGGTGGTGGTGGTGGAGGGTGTGGGTGGGTGTGGTGGTGGTGTGTGTGGTGGTGGTGGTGGTGGGAGGTGTGGTGGTGTGGTGAGGTGTGTGTGGTGGTGGTGGTGGTGGAGGGTGTGTGTGGGTGGAGGTGTGGTGGTGGAGGTGGTGGTGGGTGTGGTGGTGGTGGATGTGTGGTGGTGGTGGTGGAGGTGTGTGTGGTGGTGGTGGGTGGGTGGAGGGTGTGGTGGTGGTGGAGGGGTGTGTGGTGGTGGTGGAGGGGTGTGTGTGGTGGTGGTGGAGGGGTGTGTGGTGGTGGTGGAGGGTGTGTGTGGTGGTGGTGGTGAGGGTGTGTGGTGGTGGTGGGAGGGTGTGTGTGGTGGTGGTGGTGTGTGTGTGGTGGTGGGTGTGTGTGTGTGTGGGTGTGTGTGGTGGTGGTGGTGGGTGGTGGTGGTGGAGGTGTGTGTGGTGGTGGAGGGTGTGTGTGGTGGTGGGAGGTGTGGGTGGTGGTGGAGGGGTGGGAGGGTGTGGGTGGTGGAGGTGGTGGTGGGTGGAGGTGTGTGGTGTGGTGGTGGAGGTGTGGTGGTGGAGGTGGTGGTGGTGGAGGTGTGGTGGTGGTGGAGGTGTGTGGTGGTGGAGGTGTGTGGTGGTGGAGGGTGTGTGGTGGTGGTGGAGGGTGTGTGTGGTGGTGGTGGAGGGTGTGTGGTGGTGAGGTGTGTGTGGTGGGTGGAGGGTGTGTGTGGTGGTGGTGGAGGTGTGTGGTGGTGGTGGGAGGTGTGTGTGGTGGTGGTGGTGGTGGAGGGTGTGTGTGTGGTGGTGGTGGAGGGTGTGTGTTGTGGTGGTGGAGGGTGTGTGTGGTGGTGGTGGTGGGAGGGTGTGTGTGGTGGTGGTGGTGGAGGGTGTGTGTGGTGGTGGTGGTGGAGGGTGTGTGTGGTGGTGGTGGAGGGTGTGTGTGGTGGTGGTGTGGGAGGTGTGTGTGGGTGGTGGTGGAGGTGTGTGGTGATTGATTTTGATTTGATTTTGCTGCTTTGCAGTTATTTATTGTGCACCCCACACTCATCCTGTGAGCGGTAGCGCAAAGGATTACAGAGAGTAGGGTTTACAGGGGGGTCATAATAATTAACCCCGGTTGTCAGGATATTATGGCACCGAAAGTTACATTGTGCATCATTTATATTATTTGTTTAGTTCTATACATAGGGGTAACTTATTCACAAATGCGGGAGAACAGGCGTGTGAGGCAGTATGTCTGGCCTCACACTTATTATTCACATTTACGTGGGAGGTATTCAGCCACATTGCGTATTTGGTTCTGTACATGAGAACTGATATAGTTACTGAGTGCAAAAAGTGGATAATCTTAATATGTCGGCTATCTTGCCATTAGAGATGAAGTGTTGCTATTTCACACAGTGTGCTTGGACCTGTCTCCTAAGGTTCTATCTCACACAGTCGAGGACGAGGTTCAAGAGTGTGTGGCCATATGTGGCCACACACTTTTACATTTAAGTTTGTTTACATCTGCTTGAGGAACATACAGAGGTACTTATATCCTAACTTAATCTAGCGGTTACAACATCTTGTAATCTAGTGATCTTGTTACTTGCTCCATATACATGTTTCACTTGGATATCTCATCATGGTAAACTATGGATCGACTAGTGCCTGTTTACTTGTTCACTTGTCAAACTCATCAATAAGTTCTTTCCTAATTACAGTTTTATGGGTTCTTTTGACAGACCCAAATTGTATTCAACGGTGTCTTTGTTAGACGAGTTTGGCGAGGCATCAACTCTGTCATGTTTTATGAGGCCTATGTGAGAGGGATCCATAACAGTTGACCTTGACACCCCGGGTCAACAAGGCACGCATATTTGTGTCTGGCTTCAGAGACAAGACGTGACAACCTGAGTCGAGGGTACCAAGGGCAAGTAGTGAGGGAGAGAGTCAGTGATGATGAGACTGTCAGTAACAGTGGTTTCAATGAATTTAATAGCTGTGAGTATGGCAACTAATTCAGTTTGTAGAGGGATGCCCAGTGTAACTAACTCCTTTGTGGTGGTGGTGGTGAGGGTGTGTGGTGGTGGTGGGAGGGTGTGTGTGGTGGTGTGAATGTGTGTGTGGTGGTGGAGGGTGTGTGTGGTGGTGGTGGAGGTGTGTGGTGGTGGTGGTGGTGGAGGGTGTGTGTGGTGGTGGTGGTGGTGTGTGTGTGGTGGTGGTGTGGTGGTGGTGTGTGTGGTGGTGGAGGTGGTGTGTGGGTGGGTATGTGGTGGTGGTGAGGTGTGTGGTGGTGGTGGAGGTGTGTGGTGGTGGTGGGTGTGGTGTGTGGTGGTGGTGGGTGGTGAGGTATGTGTGGTGGTGGGTGTTTGTGGTGGGTGTGTGTTTGTGGTGGTGGTGGAGGGTGTGGTGGTGGGTGGTGGTGGAGGTGGGTGGGTGAGGTGGTGGTGGTGGAGGGTGTGTGGTGGTGGTGAGGTGTGTGGTGGGGTGGAGGGTGTGTGGTGGTGGTGGGAGGGTGTGTGTGGTGGTGGTGGTGGGAGGTGTGTGGTGGTGGGAGGGTGGGAGGTGTGGGTGGTGGTGGTGGGAGGTGTGTGGTGGTGGTGGTGGAGGGGTGTGGTGGTGGTGGGAGGGTGGGGTGGGTGGTGGTGGGTGGTGGTGGAGGTGGGTGGTGGTGGTGGGAGGTGGGTGGGTGTGTGTGGTGGGAGGTGTGGTGGTGGAGGTGTGGTGGTGGTGGTGGGTGGAGGGTGTGTGGTGGTGGTGGAGGTGTGGTGGTGGTGGTGGTGGTGGAGGGTGTGTGGTGGGTGGTGGAGGGTGTGTGGTGGTGGAGGGTGTGGTGGTGGTGGAGGGTGTGTGGTGTGTGTGTGGTGGTGGTGGAGGTGTGGTGTGTGGTGGTGGGTGGGAGGTGTGGTGGTGGTGGTGGAGGGGTGGTGGTGGTGGAGGTGTGGTGGTGGTGGAGGGTGTGTGGTGGTGAGGGTGTGGGGTGGGTGGGAGGGTGTGTGGTGGTGGTGGGAGGGTGGTGGTGGTGAGGTGTGTGGTGGTGGTGGAGGTGTGTGGTGGTGGTGGAGGTGTGTTTGTGGTGGGTGTGTGTGTGTGTTTGTGGTGGGTGTGTGTGTGTGTTTGTGGTGTGTGTGTGTGTGTGTGGAAGCGGTGGGTGAAGAAGTGGTTTCGGCTTCAATGAGCTTCTTTCTTACTTTCTTTGAGAATAACTAACAGCTTGCCATAAGATGCATTTTTCTTTACTTTGTCCTTGTAATCCTTTGATGTTATATTCCTTAACATTGGTAATTCTTTATATGTACAAATAAATCGTAACAAAACATTCCGGGCATCACTTTTTATTTGGGTAGTTGACAGTCACTATCAGCAAGACCTACAGTAGGCCTACTCGTGCCCGCCATTATGTCCGTTGCTGTACTGGACCAATATTGTATTAGCCTCACACAGTCAATACTTACTGACAACATTTGAAATATTTGGAAATCAAACCAGATTACATCAATATTTTGTACTGTCAGTACAGTACCATCAATGTGAACCTCACAAAAACTGCTTCTATTGAAACTTGGACTTATGTTTAGTCATGCTTTACTTTTCTGATAAACAGTCGTCTTAAAGGGAGTACAGCTGTCATCTGTAGAGTACAGTAGCACTGTTCCTCCTCCATTCGGTGTACATAAATCAAAATAATTAACAATAATAACCTTACAAGACAACTTCCAGCTGTGCTCACTTGCAGTGGTATCTCTTCACTCCCTATCCTATACTTATTGTCAATGTCACTACTTAAAGTTAACTTACCATCTGGGAGGGTCCGTGCCTTTACTGTCGGTATAATTCCATCTTGAAGAACTTCTTCCTACAAATCATTTATACCCTGGACGAGCACTCTGTAAAATTCCCTGCCACAAAGTCTTTTCCTGTGTCATATAACCTCCAACATTCCAAACAATTCTGCCTGCTTGCATGGCATGGACACCCTGGTGACTATATACAGTGTCACTTGTCTGATCTCTCTGAGCCTTATGGAGTGCATTACTTCTTTAAAAACAACATCCTCAAGGGTAAACATTTTACAGTAGTTCTTGTTCCCTAGACAGTCATTTAAAAACTGGAATTTCTTACCTCTTCTAAGTCTGCTGACGATGGAGCAATGCCAGCCAAGAGTTTCCATACCAGAGGGGCAAGAGGCAGTGCCAGGGGTTTCTTGGTACGGATAGCAATACCAAACAATATCCCTGAAACACAAATGATGTTATATTTTACATCCACAAACTCTAATAATTCCAATCCATTGTTCATCTCCTGCTGCTCCTGTGGATACAGTCATATGTCTACATGCTTTCAAGTTGTTCCATAACATCAGTTTTAAATGGCAATTTCAAACCATGAGCAAAATTTAACACAAATCTGAACTCTCTACTGAAAACCAATCCTCGTGGCTAACCTGACACATGGCATCAGAGCTAAACTATTAAGGTGAATTAAACACTGGCTCCAATATGTGTTAAAATTTGATAATAAAATGAGTATTGTATAATATGGGTGGAGAGATGGTGTTAGAGAAGTACCACAAGGATGAGACCTGCCCTCTTTGGGATCTATATTAATGGTGTACAGTACATTAGGGCCCCAAACTTTTCATGAGGGTTCAAAATTGCAAATCCGTTAGTGGGTTATGGTAACAGTGGGCCATCCAGCCCATTTGGAAATGTTTGTAGCCCTGCCCGGTTCATTCAAATCCTGAACCACCATAGTGCCCGAAGTATGTTCTTGAATGACCTCGCCTTACACAAACATATGGCACCCAATGGTCGGGCTAACCATCGGATATGACAACTGTGAATACAGCCCTTTGTCCGATCATCAAAGTTAAGCAATGGTTAGTGCTAGAATGGGTGACCGCCTGGCCCTATGAACACCAGATGCTGCTGGCATAAGGGCTCTGCTGGAACAAGCCTCTCATGGCTTTCCTTTTATACTTTTATCCTCTTCACCACTGATCGGCTCGTTAGCCGCTTGGGCGATCGGTCACGTCTTTGTTACGCACTGGCTCCTGAATGTACCTGAACCCGCTCCAGTGTTGGTCAAGTCTGGTCTTGAAGGAGCTCACACTCGGTGCCATCACAACACTTTCTGGTAGATTGTTCCAAGAGTTCACAACTCTCACTCGGAAAAAGTTTGCCCTCACAGTTTTCTGGACTTGAGGCTTCTTTAACCTTGAGCTGTGACCCCTTGTGGGGAGAGTGTCCGCCAGCGCCAAGTAAGGACACTCAACTGAGTAGTGCCCCCTGAGATGCTTATAAACCTCAACTAGGTCCCCCCTTGCCCGTCTGTAGTATAAGCTAGGCAAGTTCAGGCGCTCCAATCTCTCGGGGTAGTTGAGGTACCAAAGTGCAGGTAAAAGTTTGGTGGCCCTCCTTTGAACATTTTCATTTAACTGACAGTCCTTAGCATATCTCGGGGACCAGATGGGTTGACAGTACTCCAGATGGGGAAGCACTTCACTCTTAATGATCGTTACGAGGGACGGACTGTCTAGATATCTGAACGAGATTCTTATAAGACCCAATAATCTATTGGCCTTAATCAAACTAACTGAATATCAGTTATGATTATTATTATTATTATTTCAGTAGTGTTTTCATTACACTTCTGTAGCTGTCTAACTACAGTTAACACTCCCCAGCAATGGAAGTATTCACCAATGCCCGGAAAAATTCCATAATGTGCAGTTTTTTCTGGGGATAACAATTCATCCTAATACCCAGATATCTTTTGAACATGAAAACATTCTGCACCAATTGTTGTGGTGATCAGGGATATTACTACAAGTTACCATTAACACCACCAGGTATTATTATTATAAGTTAGTTAACACCACCAGGTATTATTATTATAAGTTAGTTAACACCACCAGGTATTATTATTATAAGCTAGTTAACACCACCAGGTATTATTATTATAAGTTAGTTAACACCACCAGGTATTATTACTACAAGTTAGTTAACACCACCAGGTATTATTACTATAAGTTAGTTAACACCACCAGGTATTATTATTATAATTAGTTAACACCACCAGGTATTATTATTTCAAGTTAGTTAACACCACCAGGTATTATTACTAGAAGTTAGTTAACACCACCAGGTATTATTACTACAAGTTAGTTAACACCACCAGGTATTATTATTATAAGTTAGTTAACACCACCAGGTATTATTACTACAAGTTAGTTAACACCACCAGGTATTATTACTATAAGTTAGTTAACACACCAGGTATTATTATTATAAGTTTAACACCACCAGGTATTATTACTACAAGTTAGTTAACACCACCAGGTATTATTAGTTAACACCACCAGGTATTATTATTATAAGTTAGTTAACACCACCAGGTATTATTACTACAAGTTAGTTAACACCACAGGTATTATTACCACCAGGTATTATTACTACAAGTTAGTTAACACCACCAGGTATTATTATTATAAGTTAGTTAACACCACCAGGTATTATTATTATAAGTTAGTTAACACCACCAGGTATTATTATTATAAGTTAGTTAACACCACCAGGTATTATTATTATAAGTTAGTTAACACCACCAGGTATTATTACTACAAGTTAGTTAACACCACCAGGTATTATTACTATAAGTTAGTTAACACCACCAGGTATTATTATTATAATTAGTTAACACCACCAGGTATTATTACAAGTTAGTTAACACCACCAGGTATTATTACTAGTTAGTTAACACCACCAGGTATTATTACTACAAGTTAGTTAACACCACCAGGTATTATTACAAGTTAGTTAACACCACCAGGTATTATTACTACAAGTTAGTTAACACCACCAGGTATTATTACAAGTTAGTTAACACCACCAGGTATTATTACTACAAGTTAGTTAACACCACCAGGTATTATTATTATAAGTTAGTTAACACCACCAGGTATTATTATTATAAGTTAGTTAACACCACCAGGTATTATTATTATAAGTTAGTTAACACCACCAGGTATTATTACTACAAGTTAGTTAACACCACCAGGTATTATTATTACAAGTTAGTTAATACTACCAGGTATAACAACAGTAGTGCTCTAAAATTCTGCAGACTCACTCACCTAGAAATTTAAACCAGATGAGGTGGTGTGGCTGTGTAAGGTCTGGGTTTAGCAGAAAGCGATCTCGGTTGTTGCCGGCATCAGATATGGCATTGGGTGTGGGCATGAGTAGTGGCACAGCTCCTGTCACCAACTCATGACACATCTCTGTCATAGTGTCATCAAATACTCCTCCTGCATCATCTGCTCCTTCTCCAACAAGTTTGACCTGAGCATGGAAGACAAATATTACTGTAATAAACTAAGTTTTTATAATATATATATAAGAACATAAGAATATAAGAATGGAGGAAACGGCAGCGGGCCTATTGGCCCATACTGGGCAGTCCCGTTTACACCCAACCCCTATTGCTCATATAAGCATCCAAACTATGTTTGAAGTTATTCAGCGTATTCGAGTTAATGATGATATTTGGTAACTAGTTCCACTCGCCCATTACTCTATTTCCAAACCAATGTTTACCTATTTCGCGCCTAAATCTAAATTTGTCTAATTTAAAACCATTGTTACGAGTTTGCTCCTGGTTGGATAGTTTGAGTACCTTTGTAATGTCCCCTTTGTTTAGCCCTGACTTCCATTTATACACCTCTATCAGGTCGCCCTCGCTCTACGTCTCTCGAGGGAGTGCAAATTAAGATGCTTTAACCTGTCTCTATACTCAAGGTTCCTAATGCCCGGGATTGTATGTTGACAATGAGCTGAAGTTCTCGGGCCATTGTGAGAAGAAGGTAAATCAGGCAAATAAATTATTGGGTCTTATAAGATGGTCGTTCAGATATCTAGACGGTCCGTCCCTCGTAACGATCTTCAGGAGTGAAGTGCTTCCCCATCTGGAGTACTGTCACCCCATCTGGTCCCCGAGATATGCTAGGGACTGTCAGTTGGTTAAAAATGTTCAAAGGATGGCCACCAGACTGGTGCCTGCACTTCGGCACCTCAACTACCCTGAGAGATTGGAGCGCCTGAACTTGCCTAGCTTATACTACAGACAGGCAAGGGGGGACCTAGTTGAGGTGTATAAGCATCTCAGGGGGCACTACTCAGTTGAGTGTCCTTACTTGGAGCTGGCGGACGCTCGCCCCACAAGGGGTCACAGCTCAAGATTGAAGAAGCCCCAAGTCCAGAAAACGTGAGGGCAAACTTTTTCGGAGTGAGGGTTGTAAACTCTTGGAAAAATCTACCAGAGAGTGTTGTGACGGCACCGAGTGTGAGCTCTTTCAAGACAAGACTTGACGAACACTGGAGCGAGTTCAGGTACATTCAGGAGCCGGTGCATGCCCAGTATTTGCCAACAGTGCGTGACAGAGACGTGACCTATCTCCCGGGCGGCTAGCGAGCCGACCTTTTGGTGAAGAAGATAAATGAAAAGAGAAGTGACCGATCGCCCAAGCGGCTAACAAGCCGATCAGTGGCGAAGAGGATAAAGTAAAAGATTAGTCTTGTCATTCTCCTCCGAATTCTTTCCAAGGATTCTATATCCATTCTGTAATACGGTGACCAGAACTGAACTGCGTAATCCAGGTGTGGTCTCACAAGCGCAAGATATAGTTTTAGGATGACCTCGCTAGTCTTGTAACTAACACTCCTTTGTATGAACCCAAGTACTTTATTAGCCTTGTTACGAGCAAAAACACATTGTTTACTTGGCTGAAGGTTCCTACTTATCATTACTCCTAAATCCCTCTCGCAGTCGGATTTCTCTATGGCATCGTTGTTCATCTGGTATCTGGCTAAGGAGATGATCAGTGGTGAAGAGGATAAAAATAAAAGTATAAAGTATGTATTATTTTGCATTTCATGGCTTAAGGATCCAATACTTAATTACGTAAAATGTATGTGTCAATTTTAGCAATTTTCGGGTTCTTAATTATATGCTTATTTTTAAGGAAAAAGGCTTAAGCAAGGGTGGCAACAAGTTTTCTTTCATTAACTGACTTGTTCTTAAAGATAAACCACTGAAAAGCAAAAGTTGACAGAGTTTTTAAAAGTACTGTATGTTACAAATGCTTACTGACTAGTTATTGCCAAGCTGAGTTGGCTGAAGTTTGTTAACCTCCCACTATGATCACCAGTCCACCATATTGTTTGTTAACCTCCCACTATGATCACCAGTCCACCATATTGTTTGTTAACCTCCCACTATGATCACCAGTCCACCATATTGTTTGTTAACCTCCCACTTTGATCATCAGTCCACCATATTGTTTGTTAACCTCCCACTATGATCACCAGTCCACCATATTGTTTGTTAACCTCCCACTATGATCACCAGTCCACCATATTGTTTGTTAACCTCCCACTTTGATCATCAGTCCACCATATTGTTTGTTAACCTCCCACTACGATCACCAGCCCACCATATTGGCAGCACCTTTGTCAGGGCATAAACAACTCATCCTAAACTTTGCTCAATGGTTCATATGTAACAAGACATCAAGACATAAAGCTACTGCAGGGGGCCAAACACTCCCCATCACTTATTATAAAAGGCTGTGCCAGATGGGTTGAATACTCTTATAATCTACAGGTGATGCAGATCACTACTAAAAAACACTCCATGTTACTCATAAGATGAACAGGAACACTCCATGTTACTCACAAGATGAGCAGGTACAATCCATGTTACTCACAAGATGAAGAGGAACACTCCATGTTACTCACTGGAACTGTTACTTACATCGGGCAGCACTCATGATACACAGTGACTTGCAGGGGGTGATTTAGTTCTGTGATGGCAATTCCAATCAACGAGCTGGGTTAAAGTGTTACTCCTGTGGATAGACCAATTACTCTTCCCTCCCCCTGTGCTGTTGGCCTCAAATAGGGGATACATAACATAACGGTTACTACAAAACAAGGAAGCTCTGTTTAAGGATGAGACCTTCCAACTAACCATTTCTTTGTCACTATGCCTTACAGGATATACCATCTATGCACCCAAGTGATTCCAACACAGTCTGAACAATCCATAGTGATCCCAGGTCTAGTCAACCACTCATTCAGTTCCTGGCTGGTAGTTCAAGACAATGATCACAGTTCATTGTCTGTTTCCCAATTGTCTTTTCTATTGAAGAAAAAAAAGAATCTGGCAACCCAGAGGCCACTTCATGGATAATTATGTTAGCTTGGTTTACCATTCATTGTGTTTTCTTGTCAAAGTCGAGTAATTTTGTGAATACTGTACACAGTAATATATTATGTGGTTTTGATTTGCAATGACTGGAATAAATTTGTCAATGGTGGGTACAATACACAGGATAGCCATAACATTCTACTGTAGAGAAACACCAACAACATTACTCACCACATTCTACTGTAGAGAAACACCAACAACATTACTCACCACATTCTACAGTAGAGAAACACCAACAACATTACTCACCACATTCTACTGTAGAGAAACACCAACAACATTACTCACCACATTCTACTGTAGAGAAACACCAACAACATTACTCACCACATTCTACTGTAGAGAAACACCAACATTACTCACCACATTCTACTGTAGAGAAACACCAACAACATTACTCACCACATTCTACTGTAGAGAAACACCAACAACATTACTCACCACATTCTACTGTAGAGAAACACCAACAACATTACTCACCACATTCTACTAGAGAAACACCAACAACATTACTCACCACATTCTACTGTAGAGAAACACCAACAACATTACTCACCACATTCTACTGTAGAGAAACACCAACAACATTACTCACCACATTCTACTGTAGAGAAACACCAACAACATTACTCACCACATTCTACTGTAGAGAAACACCAACAACATTACTCACCACATTCTACTGTAGAGAAACACCAACAACATTACTCACCACATTCTACTGTAGAGAAACACCAACAACATTACTCACCACATTCTACTGTAGAGAAACACCAACAACATTACTCACCACATTCTACTGTAGAGAAACACCAACAACATTACTCACCACATTCTACTGTAGAGAAACACCAACAACATTACTCACCACATTCTACTGTAGAGAAACACCAACAACATTACTCACCACATTCTACAGTAGAGAAACACACACATTACACACACTGTAGAGAAACACCAACAACATTACTCACCACATTCTACAGTAGAGAAACACCAACAACATTACTCACCACATTCTACTGTAGAGAAACACCAACAACATTACACCACATTCTACAGTAGAGAAACACCAACAACATTACTCACCACATTCTACTGTAGAGAAACACCAACAACATTACTCACCACATTCTACTGTAGAGAAACACCAACAACATTACTCACCACATTCTACTGTAGAGAAACACCAACAACATTACTCACCACATTCTACTGTAGAGAAACACCAACAACATTACTCACCACATTCTACTGTAGAGAAACACCAACAACATTACTCACCACATTCTACTGTAGAGAAACACCAACAACATTACTCACCACATTCTACTGTAGAGAAACACCAACAACATTACTCACCACATTCTACAGTAGAGAAACACCAACAACATTACTCACCACATTCTACTGTAGAGAAACACCAACAACATTACTCACCACATTCTACTGTAGAGAAACACAAACAACATTACTCACCACATTCTACTGTAGAGAAACACCAACAACATTACTCACCACATTCTACTGTAGAGAAACACCAACAACATTACTCACCACATTCTACTGTAGAGAAACACCAACAACATTACTCACCACATTCTACAGTAGAGAAACACCAACAACATTACTCACCACATTCTACTGTAGAGAAACACCAACAACATTACTCACCACATTCTACTGTAGAGAAACACAAACAACATTACTCACCACATTCTACTGTAGAGAAACACCAACAACATTACTCACCACATTCTACTGTAGAGAAACACCAACAACATTACTCACCACATTCTACTGTAGAGAAACACCAACAACATTACTCACCACATTCTACAGTAGAGAACCATTATAGCACTAACTCTTGTTATGACGTGCAACTAATTAATCTGTGTAGTATATTTAACCATCTATCTTACTCCTCCAATCATCTATCCTGCACAGTCAAACTCTGTCATACTTTACATGTCTTCGTATTACCTGAGCTACATACCCTATGACCAAACTCAATGGTAATGTTCACATGTCGTGTAATATTTCAGTGTCATACTTTTTGTGATAATTACTATTTTTACATCTTACAGTAATTAGTTAACACTGCAGGCAAACATACATACAGATTTAGCACGGATGTGATGTGTAATTCTGAGATTGATAATAAAACAAACTAACCTTCCAAGCTCTGGATGGAAGCCGTAAGTCAGCAGGTTTTAACTTGACAACCTGTCGAGCCAACTGTGTGAAGATGGGCTTGCAGGGAGCTCCTCTACTGGATATCCTCTTTACTGTCACCTGCGGACCATAATTACGTCCCTGAACCATAGTGCGACCCAGGCAACGTACCAGGGGCAGTGTGTAGACCCTGGGTGACACAAGGGAACGTACGGAGGCTGATGTGACTGCACTCACATTATCTATATAACAATCAGTACCCGGGGTTAGAGTAATGAGTTTCCACGACGAATAAAGTAAGTCACTGAACTGATGCAAGAGTCGCAGTCGAGCACAAAGAGCACCTCTTGAAACACTCTGAAGGTTAGGGTACTGTGGAGGCACTGACGCTGGAACACCAAGTTGCATGGGAGCTGGATTCCCTGGTGTCACGGGAGGAAGTGGATGAGCTGTCCATGCTGCACTATGGCTGCGTCCAGCACTGATCTGACGAATCCCTTTCCCCGACAATGTCCGAACGAGCTGGGGCTCTCTCACTGCTGCAGAGTGTCCTTGGCCCAACTGCCCATCACTGTTAACCCCCCATCCAAACACATCACCGGTAGACGTGAGGGCTAGCGTGTGCTCTGAACCGACCGCTACGTCCAGCACCACGTGGTTCACAAGGACTGGAACTTGCTGAGGGCGATTATGACCTCTAGTGCGAGATTCTGGCTGGCCAATGAGACGATCCATTCCACAAGTGTAGACCCGGCCATCTTTAGAGAGGAACACTGTAAACTGAGTGCCACAACACACTTTCTTTATACCAACCCCACACATTGCCTCCACCTTCTGGGGAGTAGATTTAGATGTTGAGTTACCAAGCCCTAATTTTCCATAATCACCATCCCCAAAAGCCCATACAGTGTTTCCATCAGCACTACTACAAACAGTATGATTTAATCCACATGCAACTTGCCCAATTCTCCAGCCATCAAGAGCCATTACTCTCTCTGGAAGTTTCTTGTTTGCAGTTGAGCCAAGACCTAATCTGCCATAATCCCCATTCCCAAAGGTGAAGAGTTTGCCATCAGATGAGACCACAGCTGTGTGTTTGAATCCACAGGCTAACTGGATAATTTCCTGTCCTTGGAACGCTTCAATCTGTCGTGGTCTTCTCTGGCGATCAGAGTTGCCATGTCCTAATTTACCATAATCTCCATCTCCCCAGGAGAACACCTCTCCACTGTCTGTCACTGCTAAACTGTGGCCATCAGAGCCACATGACGTTGCAACTTGTGTCACTACAAACCCTGAAACAAATAAAAACACTGTTATTTTTCTTACAAAATCACAATATATATTCAAGAGACTCTCCTCTGATGAGCAGAAACAATCTACCTTTGGAGGCATTAATTTACCTTCTGCAGGCATTAGATTAAAACCCTCCTGGAAATAAGCATTTGGCAGCTTTGTAAATTACCCGTGGTCAAACTGACATACTGGTATACTCCCACGGCCTATGTGCAACGTATAGGTACATTGTCAATATTCATGCTGAACTGCATACTGAACCTGCATATTTTATATACAAGTTTATTCATTATGTGTTAAAGATACCTATGAAAAATTTATTCAATTACACTGACTATAATCCAGGACTAATTTTCAGGAAAGTTTCTTTAACGTCAACAACATCTGACACTCCTATAAGCTATTTAGTGTTAGGCCCATTACTCTCTACATCAAGGTCAGGACACCACCATTCCTGTACTGTACTGTATGTATATGACACCATCACTCCTGCACTGTACTGTATGTATATGACACCACCATTCCTGTACTGTACTGTATGTATATGACACCACCATTCCTATACTGTACTGTATGTATATGACACCACCATTCCTATAACTGTACTGTATGTATATGACACCACGATTCCTGTACTGTACTGTATGTATATGACACCACCATTCCTATACTGTACTGTATGTATATGACACCACCATGTCCTGTACTGTACTGTATGTATATGACACCACGATTCCTGTACTGTACTGTATGTATATGACACCACCATTCCTATACTGTACTGTATGTACATGACACCACCATGTACTGTACTGTACTGTACTGTATGTATATGACACCACGATTCCTGTACTGTACTGTATGTATATGACACCACCATTCCTATACTGTACTGTATGTATATGACACCACCAGTCCTGTACTGTACTGTATGTATATGACACCACGATTCCTGTACTGTACTGTATGTACATGACACCACCATTCCTATACTGTACTGTATGTATATGACACCACCATTCCTGTACTGTACTGTATGTATATGACACCACCATTCCTATACTGTACTGTATGTATATGACACCACCATTCCTGTACTGTACTGTATGTATATGACACCACCATTCCTATACTGTACTGTATGTATATGACACCACCATTCCTGTACTGTACTGTATATGACACCACCATTCCTATACTGTACTGTATGTATATATTCCTGTACTGTACTGTATGTATATGACACCACCATTCCTATATACTGTATGTATATGACACCACCATCCTGTACTGTACTATATGACACCACCATTCCTGTACTACAAAGTGTATATGACACCACCATTCCTAAACTGTACTGTATGTATATGACACCACCATTCCTATACTGTACTGTATGTATATGACACCACCAGTCCTGTACTGTACTGTATGTATATGACACCACGATTCCTGTACTGTACTGTATGTATATGACACCACCATTCCTGTACTGTACTGTATGTATATGACACCACCATTCCTGTACTGTACTGTATGTATATGACACCACCATTGTTCCTGTACTGTACTGTATGTATGTAAACACCATTCCTATACTGTACTGTATGTATATGACACCATCATTTCCTATACTGTGCTGTATGTATATGACACACCATTCCTGCACTGTGCTGTATGTACCACCATTCCTATACTGTACTGTGTATATGACACCACCATTCACCATGCTGTACTGTGTAATATGACACCACCATTCCTGCTGTGTATGTGTTTCCACATTCTATACTGGCCTTGGCCATGTATGTGACACCATTTCTATACCTTGCTGTATGTTTCACCATTCCGCAGCAACCATGTATATGACACCACCATTCCTATACTGTACTGTATGTATATGACACCACCATTCCTGTACTGTACTGTATGTATATGACACCACCATTCCTGTACTGTACTGTATATGACACCACCATTCCTATACTGTACTGTATGTATATATTTTCCCTACATTCCTGTACTGTACTGTCCCATGTGACACCACACCATTCCTGTGCACATGCTGTATCCAGCATACTTGTTTACCATTCCTATACTGTACTGTATGTATATGACACCACCATTCCTGTACTGTACTGTATGTATATGACACCACCATTCCTGTACTGTACTGTATATGACACCACCATTCCTATACTGTACTGTATGTATATGACACCACCATTCCTTACTGTACTGTATGTATATGAAGCACCATTCCTATACTGTACTGTATGTATATGACACCACCAGTCCTATACTGTACTGTATGTATATGACACCACCAGTCCTGTACTGTACTGTATGTATATGACACCACCATTCCTATACTGTACTGTATGTATATGACACCACCATTCCTATACTGTACTGTATGTATATGACACCACGATTCCTGTACTGTACTGTATGTACATGACACCACCATTCCTATACTGTACTGTATGTATATGACACCACCATTCCTATACTGTACTGTATGTATATGACACCACCATTCCTGTACTGTACTGTATGTATATGACACCACCATTCCTATACTGTACTGTATGTATATGACACCACCATTCCTATACTGTACTGTATGTATGTGACACCACCATTCCTATACTGTGCTGTATGTATATGACACCACCATTCCTGTACTGTGCACAGCTGTATATGACTACCACCATTCCTATACTGTACTGTATGTATATGACACCACCATTCCTATACTGCCATGTATATGGCACCACCATTCTGTACTGTACTGTATGTATATAAGCACCACCAGTCCTGTACTGTACTGTATGTATATGACACCACCAGTCCTGTACTGTACTGTATGTATATGACACCACCATTCCTGTACTGTACTGTATGTATATGACACCACCATTCCTGTACTGTACTGTATGTATATGACACCACCATTCCTGTACTGTACTGTATGTATATGACAGCACCAGTCCTGTACTGTACTGTATGTATATGACACCACCAGTCCTGTACTGTACTGTATGTATATGACACCACCAGTCCTGTACTGTACTGTATGTATATGACACCACCATTCCTATACTGTACTGTATGTATATGACACCACCATTCCTATACTGTACTGTATGTATATGACACCACGATTCCTGTACTGTACTGTATGTACATGACACCACCATTCCTATACTGTACTGTATGTATATGACACCACCATTCCTATACTGTACTGTATGT